AATGGCTATTTTTAGAACTTGCTCACGGGCGACTGACAAGGTCCCCTCGGGCGACCGGGGACCCACGGGCACCGTGTTGGTGACCCCTGCTGTAGACAATCCAGTATGTACGTAGCTGCGCAAAAATGTGCCGCATTTTGGAGCGTTTTGGCTCTGATGGAGACCATCGCCAATGGAAGTATTCAGAGGGAACATTTGTTCAGAGATTATATTTATCTTCTGTTGATGATGGTTTATTAGTGTTTAGATTAATCCAGACTGATCATCCTGGAGCTCTGAGCTAAACTTAAAGAAGGAGCCGTGCGTTACCGGTACTGGTGCAACTGCAGTCATCGAGCCGCCCGCTATGTGAATGTGCCTTATGGACAGAAAGCATCTTTATTCTGTAAATATACAACTTATGCACATGATTCTACTATTTAGAATAAACGTCCAATTTCCCCACTCAAAGACCCTCTGACACGCTGTCTGTCTTTAAATCCCAGCTGAACGCCCTATTGTTCAAACGGGCATTTTCACAATCTCTTTAATTAATTTATTTATTTTATTTGGATTTTATTTTTTTCTTTAAAATGTATTTTTATTTTTGTGAGGTGACCTTATGTGTCCTGAAAACACTTTTTAAATAAAATATATAGTTATTATTACAAATATACTGCTACAAACAAGGACGTCGCCTATTGCTTCACGTGGTGGCAGACTTCCAGGTACATACATATGTATTTATGGGTGGCGACAGGGCGGACTAGCAGCTGCGCTCTATTTCCCTCAAATTAGGATTTATGAAGGAAAGGTGCGCGGCCACATGCGTGCGCACGGCTTTATGCATCTGTAGCAGCATAAATGGTACGCTGCCACTTTAAGGTCAATTTTGGCTGCTGCGTATAAGCAATAGTGATGGGCAAATTAAGCCTCATGAAGCAATGAACCTTTTGCAAAAAGGTTCCTTACTCGCTGCTTCATTCATCACTCACTAGTGACATCTGCTGGTGAAACTGTAACAGCCTTGTCACTCAGTTGGATCATACTTCCAAAAATTACTCAATGCAATATTGTCACAAAGTTTTCATCAAACTCATGTTTAGTAACAGGAGAGTCAATTAAATTATATTTAATTGTCATATGTTTTAAATATTAAAATGATTTGTAGCCAATCTAATCCTTGACTATCAGTGGTTGTGTTGGGTTTTCTTTTATATCATGGACTTATTTGACAATGAAGGTATGTTGTACTTTAATGTATTGGGAATTGAGTGATTGTTGAGGCAGACTGAATACTTTCAGTGAAAAACTTGCTTCCTGAAAAACAGAATTTGTTTAAAACAATCTCTTCTTGGGAGTTGTAGTTCTGGTTTTTAACAGTACAAATAAAGTTTGCCTCTTGCATTGGTTTTTAGTCTGTTTTTGATGTGTGAATCTGATGTATCTCCTGATCAAACAAAAATAATAAAGAACTGTTCAGATTTTAGGTTTAATTGTTTTTATTTAGGAACAGGACTTTTTTCACTGTTTCAGGTTGTAGACGGTTTCTTCGTCGGCAGATGACCTCCCCCGCCTTGGAAAAAACTCGTTCACAAGGCACTGATGATGCAGGTGAACAGAGGAACTTCAGTGCCATACAGTACAAATGGGGATGCACATGTTTGTGTGTGTGCCAATACTCCAAAGGATCTTCATATCTCCTTAGGTTCATTTCGGCGAGGTATCGCTCCACTTCAACAATGGCATCTGCTGTGGCATTAGAGCTACGCCTCTTCTGGTCCACTGTAGAATCTAACAGAGACCACAGTTCACCTATAAATAACAAAAAAATCATTACAGATAATATACACCAACAACTGAAATACAGTAGTACAAATGTCACAAGAAAATAAAAAAAAAAGAAAACTCACAAGATTTGCTGATGCCTTCTCCTGCATCTGCTGAATCCTGCAGCTGGTTACCTTCATTGCTTGCAATTAGTGCAGAACATCCTGTTTTCAGCCACCGTACTGTGTCTTGTGCCTTGCTTTGACTGACAAAGCCAAGAGTTTTGAACCTAGGGTCCAGTAATGTGGCCATTGTCATGACACTTAATGATTCAATATTTGCAATTTGTTCTTTGACACGCCTCAATAGGTTTTCAGACAGAAGTCTTGCAACATCATTTTTTATATTTGCCGTCTTTGTAAGCACTGCATGGTGTAGCATGTTCATTAAAGGTATAACCTTGGATATTGACACCCTTTTCTCTTCAGAGAGCTCTGAAGTTGCTTGGAAAAATGGGAGCAACACCAGTAACGATTCCTCAATTATCTCATAATCCTGAGAAGTCAGAGGGATTGTATCAGTTTTGAGTGTTGTGAGGGCTTACAGCCACAGGTTCTTTTTGTTGAAACAGACATTCCAACATGAGGTAAGTGCTGTTCCAGCGTGTGTCCACATCGATTATGAGCTTTTGCGACTGTCTTCCCATCTGTATTTGAATCCCTTCTAGCTTTTCTTTACCTGTGGTGCTTGAGTGAAAATATGCTACAATTCTTTTAGCCTTTGCGCGGATGTCACAGAGGGCAGGGATCTGGTCAAATGATTTCTGGACTAATAAATTCAGTCCATGAGCAATGCAAATGGAGTGCCTGATCTTTAATGCCTTAGCACATGCAATCATGTTAGCTGCAGCATCAGTCACCAGACAGTTCACCTTATCAGTAATTCCCCACTCCGCCATGTGATTATGCACCACCCTGGCCAGATTCTCAGATGTGTGAGTGGAAGGGAAATGCTCCACTCCAACTAATACAATGCCCAGTTTGTCATTGGGATCAATAAAGTGGCATGTTATGGGCCAGGTAAGCCTCCATATTCATGGAGGTCCACATATCTGCGGTCAGACTGACGGCAGACACCTTTTGAATGTCTTCTTTGGCTTTTTCTTTTGTTTTGTAGTATTTCTCTTCCACCATCTTTTTTAATGCCTGAAATGAAAAGCAAAATAATTCATTTAAATAACTGAAATGATTTCCATTTACCACATTAGCTGGTATGTTTGACACATATAAACCTTTCTGGTAGGAAGAACATAGGTTGGATCCAGCAAATGAATGAGCTCCCTGAACCCCTCATACTCCACTACTGAAAAGGGTTGGGAATCCTTTACAATCAAGTTTACCACAGCCTCATCTAGCACCTGCTTCCTGGAATCTGTAAGACGCATAAATATAAAACAATCAAAATATTATACTGATAGATATATGAATGAAATAATTTTAAACACATAAAACAATGTCATACTCTGGCTGGTGTCTCCTGTGTTTAAAGTGTACTTATTTTCATGTAGGGCCCTGTAATGCCTAATCATTGATGATGTGTTGTTGTAGACCAACACCCTGTCACACAGCAAACATTTCACCTGAAATAAAAGGATGGCGAATTTCACACAAAGTTGCTATTAATGATGCAAATGTAGTCAGATCTTGTGCAAACAGTATACAAAACTTATGATCTGTCATCTCAAAATACTCCCAGATATGAGAGGTTTTTTACGGAAGCGCATTGCTATCACGCAGGAAAAAAAAATTTCGAGCGCTATCACGTTATAACGTGATAGCGCTCAAAAAATTTTTTTCCTGCGTGATAGCAATGCGTCTTCCGTAGTTTTTCTCTTTTTTGACGGCTCCATTTCAACCAGTGCTGATGAAAACGGCTCTGCTGACGCGCCACCAAACCACCTACTACAACCCACGAAGCAACAGGGTTCATAGCGCTTTTATTTTGAAAAACAATACGCAAAATGAAGCAATGACGTGGCAGATGTAATGCGAGGCCTCGTTTGTTGCTGATTACATGATTTTGCTTAATGTGACACAAGCTCCGAAGCGGGGCTTCATCGGACACGCCCCCTTTTTACTCGGTACACTCATAGACATAATATAAG